TCCAGGCTAGCTCTTTCTGCCTGCGAGCTATCTGCAGACGTTCGCATTTTCGGACCAGGGCTGCGGCGTCCCTGGGTGCCTTTGGGTGTAGGGCGACCCCTGAGACCGTTCCCTAGGGAGTTTCCTGAAGCTTTTTCCCAAGATCAAAGCTTCCTCTTAACGAGTCCGTACTTAAAGTGCTTAAAAGTCCGTTGCAGACTCAGATTTTGCGTTCGAAGTATCATCAAGAAAATGTTGCGCTGATCGGCTGAAGGGAAGGTGAGACGCTGGGGTGAGCAGTGGGGGGTGCGGCACCCTGCCACCCGCGCCTCTCCTTTCACGAGCAGTGGAGCGGAGATCAGGCACGGCCTTTCTCACCCCGGTCAGCCTGCACCACTGCTGCACTGTCCAGCAACAAAGCTGTGAGCAGCCAGAACAGGAGAGGAGTTAATGGCTCCGTCTGGGACCCTTTGCTAGAGGCAGTCGAGACAGACCGGCCTCCAGAAAGAAGCTGCTTGCCATTTTCGAAATGCGCTTACATCCCCATGTTGCCTTACATTGCCTTAAAAATTACAGATGTGTGCTACAGGAAATGTGCTCGACAGCTACGTCTGTGTCCTCCCCAGCGTCACGGCAGGCGTGAGGGCTGTCCCACCCCCGGAGCAGGACGCATGGGATGTTGAGAGGACGAGCTGGCTTCAGGAGCTGGGGCTGAGCGGGGCAGGAGCAGAGGGCTGGAGAGCTGGGGAATATGGGACTGTGGTGGGTGAGGGCAGCTGGGGCTGCAGGGTAGGCACCGGCTGGACAAGCACATGGGAAGTGCTGTGAGGGACTGTCTTGGCCCCAGCGCACCCTGTTGGGCCAGCCATGAGGGACTCCCTCAGCCCCAGTGCACCCCGCGGTGCCGGCTGTGGGGGACTCCCTCAGCCCCAGCGCACCCCATGGTGCTGGCCATGGGGGACCCCTCAGCCCCAGTGCACCCCGCAGTACCGGCCATGAGGGACCCCCTCGGCCCCAGCGCATCCCGTGGTGCCGGCCGTGGGACCTCGGCAGTGCCTGACCAGCCCCTCTCCCCCAGAGTCACTACGTGGCCTGCATGGCCGCCATCCTGAGCCAGATGGACAAGGACCACTACAGCTCCTACATCAAGGCGTTCCCCTCCCGGCCTGAGCTGATGGTAAGTGCAGCCCCATGCAGCAAGACCTGGGCCCTCCATCACCAGAACCTCCCTGCATCTCCACCCCGCTTCTCGGCTGGGGCATTCCACTGGTCCCAGTGCCCTGCCTGCACCCTGCACTGGTGCCGCCTGCCATAGACCTCAGCACAGCCCACATCTCCACTCCACGGAGGTGAAGCTCTCGCTGTCAGGTGGCGAGGGATGCTCCTAGCCCCGATGCTCAGCCCAACATCATACTGGGAGGGCATCATGGTCAAGCCCAGCTCCTGGCATCTCCTCCTCACCGGCAGGACTTCCTCATGGAGACCTTCATCCTCTTCAAGGACCTGATTGGCAAGACGGTGTACCCCTCCGACTGGATGGTGATGAACATGGTGCAGAACCGGTGAGGACCTCTGGGCTGGGAGGGACCCATGGGTGGACGTTGGGGCCAGGTGTGAGAACCTGGGGCGCGATGCTGGGGCATGGGGCGTGCCGAAGCCAGAGCACGGCTGTGCCAGGCAGCCTGAGGCGAGCTTAGTGCCCTCCAAGCCTTGAACAGCCCTGGCTACGTGCTCAGGCTGGCTCAGGGCAGCTCCAGACACTTCCTGCTCTGTCCTGGGACGGTCTGGCCCCATCCAGGAGCCGGGTGGCAGAGCTGCTCTCCACACCCCCATCGGCATGCCGGGGGACTCCTGGGGGGGAGCGGGAAGCTGATGCCAGACCCCCAATCCCTCCATGCTGTGTATCTATGCTTGGTGGGGACGCTGGGCATGCAGGACCGGTGCACCGGGTCAGTACCCAGCCGCAAGACCGTGGGCAGGAAGGACCACCCGTCGCATGGGTGCGGGTGGGGGCACACTGCAAGCCCACCCTGGGGCACTGCGAGCCCGGACCCTGCCTGCCCCCACCCTGCTCCC